CATTTAAGAACACATACTGCTCTTGCAAAGGACCAGGTTCAGGTTACAGCACCCACATCAGACGATTCATAACCACCTGCAGCTCCAGTTCCAGGGAATACAGCATCCTCTTTGCATACATGAGCACCTGCACTTGTGTGCCTATACCCAACTTAAACACAGACACTAATGTGCACAAAATACTAAAAATATAAAATTTATTTTAAAATCATGTTAAATATAGTTTTAATAGCGTAAAAGACCTAAAGAATTCTTTTCTTATAATCTGAAAGACATGGTTTACATAAAAAGACAAACTACTTTACCATGACCATCCAACAGAGGCTTACTATTACTTCATGGGAACCATGTATTTTAACATGCTCTACCTTATCAAAATATCTGTCTCCAAAACAGAGTATAATATTGGTCATCCAGGCAATTATTACTGAAGAGTTATACAAAAATTAAAAACAGTACAAAACCAAAAGACTAAGACAATTAAGTTATATATTTTCTGCATTTAAAAAGTCTAAGATAGATAAAGAAATTATTAATGATATCAAAGAAAATTTATAGCACAAGAACCTTTTATATCAATCACATATCTCTGATTTAACTAAGATCCAAAAATCTGTTGCCAGAACTCAGCCACTGACTAGATTTACATATTTCCTCTATTTTAGGTAGCTCTCAAACAATAGTATACTACAGAGTTCTTTGTCTTAAAGCCTGTTCTTGTTTCCCATGTACAAGTTTATAATTGAGAGAAAGACAGAATAATACCGCCTGGTTTATTTGGCATAAGGGTGGCTCCCAATGGTAATACTTGAGAACTCAGCATTTATTCACAAGCTGCTGGCAGGTCTAGAAACTTTCATAATCCAAACAGTGCTGATCCCAAACAGTGAAAAGATCCCAAAGTACAGACAGTATAAGCATTTGAATCCTGTATCTATGCACTTAGTACATTGCTATTAATCACTAGATACTAATTTGTCTAGGGCTTGGGATCCAACAGGACTTTAAGCAATGGTTTCTTTGGCCTCTCTGTTATTGAAGGAGATAAAAGATAACCACAGATGATAAACAACTGCAGAACTAACATGATCATATTTTGTCTTTTAAAGATGAGGATTGGTGAAGATGTTCCTGGGCAGATGAACTCTGATCAACACCTTGAATGTGAAGAAAACCTTAGGAGACCAAAGGAAAAATAAAGTTGGAACATTTGGTGTTTTAACTCTGGTATGACAACCAGACTAGCTGATTTCAAAGATTCAACACTAGTCTACCTAGAGATAATAAGAAATAAAGAAAAGAATTTTGGGTGGAATGAGGACAGGGGCACAAACAAAGGCCACTCCCAGACAATTTGCATTGGGAGGAAGAAGTAACCAGATCTGTGCCTCATGATTACTTGGTAATAATTGCAGGCATTGGCATGAGAGAAGGATGGAACTGAGGAATGTGTGTGGTGGCATATAATGAAATTAGTATTATCATCTAGGTCCTGCTAGCATTTCCTTTCTTCAGCTTCAAGCTAGAACAATACATATTAATGAGTAATTAATGTTCTTCATGCTAGAGTAATGCACACTGAATTGGACCCTTAGCTTATAGACCAACCAGTGTCTTCTTATTTTAAGTCACCGTAAAATCTAAGTAGTCCATGACAGTCAAATGGTGGAAACAGAAATTAAAAATGCACTTCAAATCTTGGACTGATATTCAAATTATTGCCTAGCAAAGTGTCTGGTATGAGGACAGCAAGCCTCTCTTTTTGTGTTTATGTGCCTGAGGTTTGAGAAGTTTCCCCAGGGTATTGTTTCTGGTTTGCAGGTATTTATTGGAATCATCCAGTGAGATCTGTGGAAACATGTTCTATAGTTGTTAGCATCAACATCTGGCATCACTATTGCTGGCATTAGAATGGTATACACAAGGAGAAGTGCAATGGTAATAACAACACACTAAACTATCCTGCAGGCAAAAATGGCTCAGAGACCCACACTTCTTCCAGACATTGCTCTCAAAGATAAGCAGTAACCTGATTTCCAACAACACAGCTCAGCTCTGCTGCTTGTTGGTATTATCTACATAAACAGGATCACCAAGAATGATTTCTTTTATGCCTCCTTTTTTATCCAATATCATGTTTTCTATTTATACAGGTTATTTTTGTAGTTCTATAGTCTTTCTTACTTCTGTCCACTGTGCAAAGATACATGGATATATTTATCCATTCTATTGCTAATGGATGTTAGGAAAAGTTCCAATTTGGAGCTATGCTCCTGTGCGCATTTTAGCAGGTGCTACTATGCGGGAAAAGGCACACATATATATGCATTTACATACATTTATGCTAAGCATATACCTGTAAATAAAATTTCTGGGCCATCAATTATGCACATTTTAAACTTTAATTAACATTGCCACAATCTTCCAAAGAGACGACATCTATTTACACGAGCAGTATATGATTTTTCTGTTCTTCTAGAAATCCCTGGCTTTCCTTTTATGTCTGATACGGTCTAAGCAATAATACATTTTAAAATCCTCTGGGAGAACAAACTTTAGCGAAAGATGTGCTGTGCCTCCTATCCAATTGGTGTGTTTGCTTATGAAAATGATCAGTGTCTTCAAACACACATCTCAGCAGTGGGAAAGGTGTAGATGCTGTGTGAAGTTGACACCATGCATTCTCATCACTGCTGTCAGTGGGCTGATTGTGGAGAACAAGTTGCTGCTCTATGCACAATTCTCACATTGTGAAAGCAACAGAATCATGGGCATCTGCTCAGGCATCTGACAAGTCGATTTCCTGGTTAATAACAAATCGTTTCCGCAGTATTAAATTTCGGTATACACATATTAAATTAAATATATAAAATAAATGTATTATATAAAACATACCAAATAAAGTCAACTGTCATACTGTAGCTGAGCATGGTCTTAAAGACTATGTACATATGGTACATAGAAAGTACATGTTAGTCAGGAAACACACTGATTATAAAATAATTACTTGGGAGACATTTTTTCTAAAGCTGCCTTACCTATAAAAGTTTCATACTTTGGTTTTAAATGCAAATTCAATTCTTATGTTACTTTATGGCATAGTTGTCCTGTTTAAGCAAAGGTAAGGCTATGGGTAAACCACATGCTCTACAGCCCTACCTACTCTATGGAAAGTGTTGGAATAGAGTATTGCGGATATTTAACCTCCACTTTTTAAATATTGCTTTAGAGGCAAAGATCCACACCATATCCCTGAGTGATTAGAACTTACTGTGTATTTTAGGCAGTTCTGGAACTCATAGTAACTTTTCTGCTTCTGCTTCCTGGTTGCTGACATTATGGAAATGCATCATTATATCCAGCCTCCACTGGTAGGTTAAGGCAAGGGAAACAACCCAGTTATGCTATTAGGAGTTGGTAAGTTTTAGTCTAGTTTTAGTCTCCCCATATGCTGCTATGGGACACAGACTTCTGACAGTGCATGTCAGCTGCTTCTCTTGTTTTGGCCAACTGGCTCCATGACTGATATGTTCTATTCTAACATATTTGTCAAGGAACAGAGGAATATCCAATGAGATGAAGTCAGTCAGTGCCATGTTTAATCACGTCTGTCTTAGACTTCTGTTGTAACAGCTAAAAACCACAGATTAGTTTTCTAAAGGTTCATTAACTCATTATTTTAAAGTCTGAGAAGTTCAAGTAGGTGAGGTCCTTCTTGTTAGTAGTGACTCCCTCCAGAGACCCAAACCAGTGCAGAGCATCAACTGGAGAAACAGGACATTCTAGACAAAGAATTCAAAGGATGATTCCACCTGTGTTCAAAACACAGTTCTTCCTGGAGAACAGGAGGTAATAGACATTATATTATGATGTGCTCTGCACATTCGTAACATAATGGAAATAAACTTCCATATTCTCAGAAGATTCTGGCCTAGTATTCAACTCCTTTCCCAAATGCAAGCTTCTAAATCCAATGATTATCTCAATTATACCCTAGGGTTTATTCTTATGGTACTGGAATTTAGTGGAACTCTTTCAAACACTGTAGTAAACAAATATCATAATCAAATATTAGGTGGTGAGAGCTCTGTTAGCAAACACCTAGGACAAGTCAGACCTAATATCAGGGGTTTCCTGTTGGCTATTAGATATTTATTAAGTTTTCACTCTTCAAGTAAGATCAGTGCATCTGTGTAAGTCATGTGTAACAGGGATTTTGTATTCCAATTTTCACTGGGTGTGGTTCTCAAAACAGCTGGCCCTTAATAATAGTCACACACGCCAAGGGCTCTGGTCTTTGTGTTTTATGCTCATTCAGATTCCCTGTCACATACATATTATAAGTATCTACTACTTTAGTTTAGTCTACCATAAATTTAAGGGGTTCTTGTTTTAAAAGTGTGTTTATTTAGCTGTTTTGTATCATATAACAAAGGGTTAGGCAATTTAGTGAATTGCCCTAGAGCCCATGTGTTGAGGAAAGGGAGACTGGGAATGGTCTAAACTCTCCATATTGCTAGCCGAGTACATTCAGGAAATATACTCATATAGCCCTGAATATAGTGCCTTGTTTATCTAATCTGCCACCAAATATCAGAATGACTGTTGTCTGTCAATGTTCTAGAAGACTGGCAACCAAAGATGAGACTTTTATGCCATGGTCTGAAAGATCTCTCCATAAAGCATTATACATTCACACAGACAGACAGACATATAAACATATTTTAAAATTTTTTAGAAAGAAAAGGAACTATGGATGAATCTTAAATGAAATGAATCTTCTTACCTTGCACAAAAGCCCTGGGTACCATAATATGAGTATAGTAGTGAATTCTTTAATGCACTGGTTCACTTGGGAGATAGAGGCAATAGGATCAGAAGTTCAAGGTCACCTTGGGAGTTCAAGGCCATCCTGATTTACTGCTGAGACCCTGTCTCAGAAAGAGAAGAGTGAATGGGGAGGAGGAAAGAAGAGAGAATGAACAAGAAGCAGGTCTTACCTGTCCTCACCAATCTCCCAGCCTTCATTTGAACTTGAAGATGTTTCCTCCAGAGGAACCAACACTGTGCAAAACAATTCAAAAGACAACTGAAAACTGGCAGATTGACCTGTTGGCACATTTAATCCTGACAAACATTTAATTTTGTTATTGTTTTATATTAGATGCTGATCATATACTTGGTACTCTGAGATCTGACTTTTCCAAGCACAGTATGAACTCTGAGACAGACCACCAGGTAGGAATGCCCAAAAGAGTGGTGGAGTCCCATGCTGACCACAGGTTGTCTTGTCATGCCCCATGTGGACTGAGAATCACAGCTCCTTTCCTCCATCAGTCATATGTAGTTTCCAAATAGAATTGGTTCTTCAATGGCAGCACACAGAACACAAGGTTTCTGAGCCTTGACACCCTACAGTGGTCTTGTGCCATGTTTGACTTTCTCAAAGCATAATACATACTGCTTGGAAGTCCTTGAGCAAAGGACTCCCAGCCCCTGTAATCTGGGAACCAACGCATCACTCACTCATCCCTCATGGCTTGCCATTGTATCTGGATGAGCTTTAATCTGACAAGCGTCAGAGCAGTGTTGGCAGAAACAGCAACTTAGACATGTTAGCAAGGACTGCCCTTGCCCATCCTGAATGTTTGATGGACAGTGAGACAGTAAGGACTCTCACTTGGTTCCTCCTAATACATTTACCAAGTTCGTGCATCATTTTGGAAGCACAAACACATCCATGTTTCTCACTTATTCCCTCCTCAAGAACCTACAGCAAAAGTAAGGGGGATACTATAACTTGTGCCTGAAGATAGGACTAGGAGAAAGCAATTGTTTGGCTAGAAATAATAAGCTGATTTGTGGGAGAAAGAGAACAAGTCCTCTAGGCAAACTCATTTGGAAAGGTAACAAAAGCCTGGAACAAAAGGGCACAAAAGGTAAATCTTCCAAGCAACATTATTCTTTATGTTGTTCACACAAATGAGCTTCACCTCAACATTTAGTAGCATCTTCATTCATATATATGCCATGTATGTACCCAAATGCATTGCATAGTGTTCCCTCAGATATTCAATGTTCCACAGTGAAAGTGTCACTGTCCCTCAGCAGCTTTGGCTGGCATGCTTTTAAGCACAAATATTTCAGAACCAGATGCGAGGCTTAATTATGAGTTTTTAAATTGGATTTGACGTGTGTGACTCTAAGTAGATATTCGTTGACAAACAATTCAAGAACGCTGTTCAGTGGAGAGATGTAGGATGAAATATCTTCAGCTTTCAGAAGACACCCTGAAGGAATTAGCAAAGAAATAATGCGGAGGCAGGGGCTGCACTTCCTCACATGCCTGGGAATCAGATGGAGTCATATTTGGAAGTCAAGTATCTAATTAGCAGATTCTTGGTCTCAGTATGTGAAGGGATGAACTTTTCCCTGGAGAGGCTACTCTCTTCATTCCTTGTAAATTGCAACAGTTCCTTTACTTTTAAGATTAAAAAAAAAGAACTCAATTTGCAAAATCTGGTGTATTCACACATAACTTTACAACTCTTTTAAAAAAAAAATCAGGCATGCTCAGAAGATAGACATTACACTCACTGTGCAACCCGTGCTTAAGTTTCTTTACTTTTATCTGTGCTTTGACTAGAATTGCTGATAACTTTAACATTTAGTATAAAATCAAATGGACAAGTTCTGAGTTCCCAAAACTTTTCACTGTCATGTTTTGTCACAATGTGCCACAGAATAAAAAACATAATCATCACATTGCTACAATATTTTCTTTACCTAGGACTTTTTTTTCCTCTCCCTATTTTGAAGTATAATCTATAAAGAGCACAAAACACAAATACAACTCCTGAGTGCTCCAAATGGGTATCACTGTACTTCACTTGACAGAAGCATTCTCTCACCCATTGGGGAAAACTAAATGTGCACAACTATAGACTATGCACATTGTTAAACACTAAACATGAAGCTAATGCAAAAATATTCTATATCTTCATGACATTAACTGTCAAAATAATTTTTCAACTAATTCTAATGTTCCCATAATGTACTATGCTATAAGGAAAGGAGGCTTTTAAAAGTTTTAACTGGACAACAGATGGGGAAAAGAAAGAAAATTTAACAGGATTCATTGCCACAGTGCTTACTGAGCATCTACTGTGATTTGACAGTCCGACTACATGAAACAATCTTTGAACAAAGCAGTTTACCACCTGGAGCATGCAAATCAATATCAGCAAACGTAAATACTGAAACTTACATAGGGTAAAGCTGTAAGAGCAACAATAATAACAGTAATGACCTCCAGCCCTTTCCCAATACCGCATATCAGGCACTGTCCCAAGAGTTCTATTTATAATTATTCACCCAACAGTACAGTCTTCTATTGCTTTTGCTCATTTTACAGAAGAAGAAAATGAAACACTTCTCCAGGGTCAAACTTCATCATAAGCATATACACAGCATGAATGAAGAGCTGGTTGTATTGGTGGAAGCTGTGGGGAGTCTCCAATCCTCACCTCACACTCATTACCCATACAGATTCTTCAATAAAAATGATTTTGCACAAAGTGATTTGTAAAGTGCCAGTCAAGGAAAGCTCAGGCTCAAGAGCATCATTTGCTAAAGCCTCTGCAGCCGATGACTGATGCATACCCTTAATGACACCTTTCTATCTCTGACACAGTCTGAAGAATGTTGTTCCTATGTTATAAGTAGCCTCAAAGAAGCATGTGACAGTGAAGGTGACAGTATAGATTTTACTTGAGGTTCATTGACTCACAGAGCTCGAACTGTTCCTGTTTATGCTCAAATACCAGCTGGAACAACACATGCTCTAGAGTCATCTCCAGGTAGTCAATATCTTCAACTTGGGGTTTTCATCAGCTGTCAATATTTAGTGGAGATTTCCTATAAACAAACTAAGAGCTGAAAACACAGTGAAGCCCATGGCCACCACGGGTGAAGATCTGGGAAGAATAGAAAGATGAATGGACAACACACTGATGAATGGATTGGAGGAATGTGTGTGTATATATATGAACAGACTGACTACCAAATGAATTGGAAAGACACGAGGGTAACAAGTCTTCAAATCAACACGGTACCATCAAGGATAAAAGACTCAGTGATTACTAAGTGTTCAGAATGAAAGAAAATGAGTTCTAGATGTTTGAAATGGCTGCTGCGTATGTAATGCATGGAGAGAGAATCTTGAATATCTCTAGAATAACCATCAGAGAAAACTGTTATTCCTAAATTAGTATGTAAAAGGAGAGAAAAAAACGATAAGAAACTGACAAGAGAAGGAGTACACGGAGCATACAGAGAGCTTAAAAGCACAACCCTGTGTCTCGCATGGAACTGACAGGGGCAGCAGGCAAGAGATGAAGCTGGAAATGAAAGCGAGAGGCAGAGTGGAGTGCCCAGCTCAAAAACAGGGATCTGGACTTTCCGTTCAACATGCTAAATAGATACTGTAGGCTTTGACTTGAGAAATTTTCACATTTGATTGAGTTTTAAGAAAAACAGACTAGCAACTGCATTCTCAGGCAGATAATTCGATAAAGTAATTAAGTGTAAGGAAAAAAAAACAGCCTATGTTTACTATGAAGGCTGCCACAATCTACTTACCCATCATTCCATTCTTAGATGGGTCTTTAATAATCAATAACACCTTGAAATAGGCTCACATTATCATGTGCCCACCAAATTCTCAATTTCTTCAGTCTACATATCGTTATAGTGTTATGGTTATCTAAGAAAACTGTATATAGCTAATCTCACTTGTTTAGTTTTGGTTGCCAACCACATAGTATATATGGTTCAAAAGAACAAAAATAACAATAAAAAATCCAACTTATTTTCTGCTTTATTTCTAATGCTTGCAATTTTCCTTTACATTAGTCTTTCAGTTGTGTTTGGGTTTTTGTTGTTTTGGGTGTATGCATAGCATTTCTATGTATAGATTACATGTGGGCTCATGTGGGTATATGTACATGTGTGTAGGTACACAGCCATGTGTATACATTTGTGTAGAACCTAGAAGCAAATATCTCTATCTGCCTCAATCTTTCTCCACTTTATTTTTTTTGACCTAGGGTTTCCCAATGCATCTAGAGCCCATGGATTGTCAAGACTGGATGGGCAGAAAGCTCAGAACGCAGCCTTCTCCAACTTTTCGCACTGACTTTACAGCACACACACATATCATCTTTCAACCTGGATTCTAGGAACTGCACTCCGCTTCTCATGCTTGCACAGTGAACACTGTACACACTAAACCATCCCCCCAACTTAAGAATTTGTTTTTCTAAAAAAAAAATGAGTTTGATTAATAAAAATTATTTTAGTGAAAGTCTACAAATCTACAAATTAAACTACATTGCATGCTTTGTTTATAAATCATTAAATGTTCTCTTGGAAATTACATCCTTTAGTTAATTTTTAGCTATATACTTGACAGTTTAATATATATGAATTATCTCACAAAGCATCTGAACAAAATCAGAACTGTCTCGGCAACAAATTTTTGATGATAGAAAAAATTTTTATGGCCCTGTCACTTTATTCACTGTTAGTACAGATTCCAGGAGAAAATATAGATTAAAATTAAGTCATACTAATTAAAAGCTATTTTATCTTTAGTTTTATATTTATTTGTTGTGGATTAGCCTAGAATTTCATTTGTTTTAAATAACAAAGAATGGAACAAGGAAAAGGAATTTAGATCATAAGATACTTGCATTAATTAAAAATGTCGATACAGGTTTTAAGAAATAGTAAGCAGGGTTAATAGTGCAAGCCTGTAATCCTGGCAATCTGGTGTGTGAGCTAGGAAGAGTGCCACAAGTTCAAGGTCAGCCTGGCCTACGTAGAACGTACTAGATTAACCAGGACTATGTACAAGATCTTGTCTCTAAAACTCAATATTTCTTCTGAAGACTAGAAGATATGTACTTTAAGATTACTATAGAGTTTATTGTTCATCAACTAATGCCAGTTTTGGATGACCCATCGGTATTCACAACTTTCCGGACCCTGAAGCTTCTCAGTTC